ATATATATATATATATATCTTCAAACTTACTTTTAAGATTGGATATTTTTTATTATTATCTATGTTTTCAATGATACGAAAATTTCCTGTTGCAAGTACTACATCCTCATTTGCAAATTCGGGTAAACTTAATTCTTGAATTGCATTGTTAGGATAAAACCCGATTAAGATAACATTGAGAGGAGAATTTAAACTTTGAGATCTTATAATACCCGAAGCTTCAATGATTGTAAGATCTTTATTGGTAAATAATTTATGATAATTCGATATATAACATAAAACAGTAACAGAGGCTGGCATTTTTTTTTTAAAAAAAAAAATCGTGTGTATAAAAGACTTGTCATTAAATTAATTAGTATGTGTTATTTTATATATTTTTTTTTATTTAAATTTAATTTATTATTTAATTAATAATAATAAAATCAATTTTAAAAAAAATCATGAAATAATTATAAATCACACATATGTTAAGAATGCAATTTTTATTTATTTTTTTTTAGAATTATATATAATTAGCAAGGTATATATTGGGAAGGATACAAACACATATTAATCTCAATAAGTAAAAAAAATAAAATCAGATGATCGATGCCTTTGGTCGGGTAACTTTCATAAATCAATCACATTAATTTCTTAGAATACGGTTCATGTTCTTAAACAGGATAAGTCATACCATTATTCTATGTATTCGGAAATAGTTGTCAAATTCTTTCACTATGGTCTTTTGTTATGAACTTTGACAATCAATGATTATCAATTCATCTGTCCCGTAAAATTTCTGATGGAAAGAAAAAAAAAATTGGTGAAAACTCTGAATTGGGTTAGTCATTCTAAGCGAAACATGGAAGAAATAGCTGTTTGAAACTTTTTTAACAATAGTTTACTATTGTTTCAGTGTCTGACAAAAATTATTATATAAAATATCAATATCAATTGCAAGTTCACTTGCACTTGTACTTGCTTTCTAAAAAAAATATATTGGGAAGGATACAAACATGTATTAATCCCAATAAGTAAAAAAAATAAAAATCGGATGATCGATGCCTTTGGTTGAGTAACTTTTATAAATCAATCACGTTAATTTCTTAGAATACGGTTCATGTTCTTAAACAGGATAAGTCATACCATTATTCTATATATTTGAAAATAGTTGTCAAATTCTTTCGCTATGGTCTTTCATTATGAACTTTGACAATCAATGATTATCAATTCATCTGTCCCGTAAAATTTCCAACGGAAAGAAAAAAAAAATTGGTAAAAACTCAGAATTGGGTTAGTTATTCTAAGCAAAACATAAAAGAAATAGCTGTTTGAAGCTTTTTTAACAATAGTTTACTATTGTTTCAGTGTCTGACAAAAATTTTATTAATAAAATATCAATATCAATTGCAAGTTCACTTGCACTT